GAGGAGGAGGAGGAGGAGGAGGAGGAGGAGGAGGAGGAGGCGAGAAACAGGCGCCATTCTGTCTCCCACGGTCGGTCACCCCAGCCTCAGCCTCACTCAGAGGTAGTCTGTGGGAGGGGAGGACACTCGACCTGCTACAGTCCAGAACAAGGCCAGGCGGCACCTCAGGGCAGCTCCTGACGCTCAGGACAGGTGGACAGCGGAACTGTGGACAGAAGCCTCCCGACCATGCATGCCACCATGCAGCACTTCAGAGATTGGTGACAAGGGTGACAAAGGTGACAAAGTGCTCCCACCCACTGACAGAGCAAGAGGCAAAGTCTGGCATTCAGAGCGCCAAGCTCCCGTCTCCTAGAGAGGCGGGTGCCGCTAGGTCAGTGTCTCTGGGGGTGACTCATGTCTCAGCCTCCCTGCCTCGGGCACTGTCCCCGCCTTGAGACAGGACTGCTTACTGTTACTTATTTATTCCCTGCCTCTCTCCTCACCCCAGCCTGTGACTATTGGGCTCTTATCACCCCAGGGCATGCTGGGAGGACATCAGCAGCACTGCAATTATCTGGATCATTCACCACCTCCACCCCTAGCGTCAGTTTGGTTCTGAACCCCCCACCCACCCACCCACCCTTCTGCATAAACCTGATATTCTAGATGCCTGATCTATGCAGTGAATTCTGGTTTAGGAGGTGAATCCTTGGCCCCAGATTCCCTGTGGTTTGTGAGACTAGCTCCGGGCTAGTCGGGATTCCAGGAAACTGGCCCTAGCATCAGCTTCTCAGCATCTGAAACAGTCATTTCAGAGCTAACAGCATGGACGAGGTGAGTTCATCCAGGAAGACCAGAAAGACACTGGTGTCTTTTACAATGCAAGCCTATCTGGGCCATGCCTCAGAGGCGGCCTCCTGTAGGACCACTCCAGAAGGGAGCATTGCTAAAGAGCACCCCATTCTTCTGACTGAGACCCTCTGTTCCAATCCACCCTTCCATCTAGCCCCTAGTTCAGGCTGAGCAGGGGCAGGGCCAGACCAATGTGCCCCCCCTTACCTCCTCCTGCTTACAGCAGGACCCACAAACTGAGCAGACAGTCATGGTTCCCTACATCTCCCAGTGCTTCGAGGCCGGTGTGCCATCTGGGTGCTAGAATCACTCCTCAGCCTTTTTGTCATATCATTCAGACCCCTCCAGTCTCCAACACCCTCATCAGTTACATGTTTTCTTCCTTTGGACTCAGTTCCTAGCATGCTCCAGCTCTGGGGCCCTCCTCCACAGCCTTCCTGCCTGTGTGCAGCCCCCCTTGGCTTGAGGACACTGTCTTGGGGTTTAGCAGGCTGTGGATTTGTCTGTTTGTCTGGGAAAACCTCCAGAAGAAGGTTTACTCTCCTGGGGTCCTATCTTCAGGGAGGGTGTTTATTGGGATAAATCCACGGAGTCTATTTAATGATCAAAGGAATTTATTTAACTCACACCCACAGGAGATTTATCACAGGGTCCGGGAAACCAAACCACTGAACGGTTTGGTCCAGGAAAGCTGAGCCATGTCCCACTGGATGGTTTGGTCCAAGATCTCAGCATCCAAAACCTCGAGGTAGCCAAGAGAATCCCAGGTCTTAAGGGTCCCCGGTGGTCACGCCCCAGAGGCAGGTACCTCGAGGTCATAGGCAGGCGTAAAGGCCACAGCGGCCTGATTAGAGGTGGTGCTTCAGGGCATGGCTCAAACAGCCACCCACTCCAGGTGCTGGGTAACCACGAGGATGCCAGCTGACCGACACAGTCACACCCGACACTGGAGAAGCATCCATGCTGTGCTCTCGGATGTTTGTTTCTGGAACTTCACCGTCCGGGCCCTACAGAGTATGCAAGCATACTTCTAATCTGTGTAAACGTTCACATCAGACAGGCCGAACAGACAAGCAAGTGCTCAAGTCTGGGGACATTCCCTGCACCCCAGGCGGACCCACAAACGTGCTAGGACCTCTGGGTAGTAAACCAGACCTAGAAGGCTAGGAAACACTGGGATAGATGTTTATTTGTTTATTTTTGAGACAGAGTCTCAGTCTATAGATCAGGCTGGCTTTGAACTTGCAATCTTCCGGCCTCAGCCTGGGGAGTGCTGAGATTATGGGAATGGGCCATTGTGATTGGCCATAATTGTGACTTTTGAAAACACCCAGAGAGCTAATTAGGAGCCCCGTTCTTTCTTTCCTCCATCAGCAAGAACACAGGCAGCTGTGGACAGGTGACACTCGCAGGTGACACCTGGGAGGGTGGGTCCTAGCCTGGGGGCTGCTGCCAGCTCACACCTGGAAAGGCCCTGCTCTTCCACCATGCTGCCGGACGCCCACCTGCCCTGAAAGCACGGGCATCTCCCCACCTGTGCTGAAGAAGCAGCGTGGCCAAGCACTCTGTCCCCAGAAGTGCTTGCTGAGGGGGGCACAGAGGAGGGGGCGACGGCCTGTAGCAGCTACTGGCAGCCCAGGACAAAGAGTGGTGAGCTCTCCACAGAACTCATAAGCCAGGCAATGCAGCCAAGCCCGGGACTTCCCGACACTGCAGGCGATCACGGGTGGAGAACCATGCGAGTTCCCGTCTGCCTCTGCTCTCTCCCTCATTACCACTGCCACCAAGGCTCAGTTCTCAAACCTGGCCCGGCACGCAGCACTGGGTCTCTTTCCTCCCGGCTTTCTTCATCCCCAACCCTCCCTGACCGTCCCCGACCTGTACTCATTTCCCATTTCTGCATTACATTTCTTCTACAGGGCCGAGAGGTGGCTCAGTCGGTAGGAGCACTGGCTGCTCTTCCACAAGACCTAGGTTCAATTCCCAAGCATCTCACATGGTGGCTCACAACCATCTGCGACTCCAAATCCAGGGCATCCAATGTCCTCCGTGGGCATCAGACACAGATACGATGCACGGACACACACGTAGGTGAAATATCCATACACATAAAATAAAAATAAAAGGAAACCACCGAAAAATAACAATAACAAAGAATTAAAAACAACCCTTGACTATTTAAAAAGATGTCGTGAATGAGACAGACAAGTAAACAAATAATTCTCCAGCAGTGCATTAGGGGACATGAGCAATAGCAAGGCCAGTGTGCATGTGGAGGAGCTGGCTTAGACTAGCGGAGTCGGGCAGGCCGTCAGGGGAGCCGTGACAAGGAAGCTGGGTTCTGAGCCACTCAAGGAGCTTGTCACTCGTCAGGGAAGTTAACTGTAGAGGAAATGAGCGCAAAGGCACGGACCATACTATCCGGCAGAGAGGTTGGCAAATGTCTGCTGGGCTGTGGTTGTGATAGAGTCCTCGCTTAGCATTTGCAAGAGAGGGGATTCATTGCCCAGGACAATTAGTGAATATATAGATATGAATATATATAACTATATATAAAATTATATATATATATATAATATATATATATGATTGTTGAACAAACAGAAGTTCTACTCTCCCTTTTCACTGTCTTGTCTTTTTCTTTTCAGTGCTGTGGATCAAACCCAGGGTTGTACACAAGCACTCTGAGCCATATCCTCAGCCCTTGGTTTTTTGAGGTAGGGCTTACGATGTAGCCCAGGTTGGACTGAGACTCACGAGCCTTCTCCCTCGGCTTCCTAAATGCTGGGGTTACAGTGCGGTCCGCTAGACCCACCTAGGTCAAGTCTCGATTATTTTCTTTGCTCTTTTTTCCCCCTAGTGCTAGGTAAGTCCTTCACCACTGAGCCACACCCCCAGCTGCTTTGTCCTGTTACCCTGTCACTCTAGCTCGGTGGTGGCCTCTTACCTGGAGACTGGACCTCTGGCAACTCTAGCCTTCATTTGCTCCCCAACACTGTGGGTAGCTGGCCGACCGTCAAGAGGTGCACCCACAGAGACAGAGCAAACAAACGTGGGAAGAACACTGTGTATCCATTCACACGGAAAGATTGGGTATTGTTCATGCCACGCTTGAAGTCTTCCTGTGCATTATACGGTATTAAAAATAGAAGCCCGATTTAACAAAGACAGAATCCGATACAGGCTGCAGTGAACTCGCTTCCCCGACACCTCAAAAGTCCAATGTCCATTGAAATTCAGAGCTGGAGGTTCCTGTCTTAGCCCCACACTCCACCGCATTTACTGATTTGGGCTAGAGCATGATCAGAGGTCAGAGGTGACCTCTGGCCACCTTCCGCCGTGTCTGAGATGGGTCTGTGCTGTTTTTCTGGTATGCTCACCCCTTGCTACCTGGTAAGGTCCCGAGGAGTCTCCTGTCCCCACCGCCTGTCTCCAGCTGGGACCACACACACTTGTGCCACATCCAGCTCTTACGTGGATTCTGGGGATTTGAACTCGGGTCCTCAAGCTTGTACAGCACGTGCTTTATCCCCTGAGTCATCGCCCCAACTCCATGGCTATATTTGACAACATGAGGTGGGCAACGCTACAAAGACATTTATTATATAAACACCTTTTCCTATCGAGAGGTATGTCGGCATTTTAACACCCATGCTCCTTCACCCGGAGTGGGGTTCCCATAACTTATGGACTCTCATGGCCTTCCCACTAGAGGTATCACGCCCAGACACTTTCCTTCTGCTACCGTCTACAGTTCTAACTCGGGGGGGGGGGGCTTCTTTGGGGGAAGTGGACGGTGGTTTGGGGGCTTAAAAGAAAGAAATGAGACGTGACAGGGTAGAGTTAGCTGAGGATAGCACCCCACCTCACACGCTACAGTAGATAGAGTCCGCGCTGCGTGCAGCGGTGCCCACTGAGGCTGACAGAGTCTTCAGAACCTGCCTGAGCCACTGAAAATTGAGAGGAGATAAAAATAGAACCAGAGCTGAGCACCGAGACTTTTCTAAATTCGCCGGCACAAAGACGGCCCCAGGAGGACTCGGCTCCTCGGTGCTTTCATCCACGGCACGTCCTGCTGTCTAAAAGTCTCCAGGGTTTGGGTTTTCTGAAAGGTCCCCATCAGAAAGCAAGCAGAGTGGAAAACTCTGAGGCTCGAGCCAAGGACAATGGCCGCTGGGTGACCTTGGGTCAAGTCCTTAACCACTGAGTGGCTGCGGCCTCGTCTGGAACAAGAGGGTAACTAATGTGCTACTCCACAGACTTATGAAATGGACCGGTGCCTGGAGCAGAGGCAGCGAATGAATGGGACTTAGTCCTGTTGAATCTGTTCCTCGGATGAGCCCGAAACGAAAGATGGATTTTTTTGTTGTTTGCTTGCTTTGGGAGAAGAAAACAGATTTATTGAGTATGCTGAGGGGAGGGAGCAGGCTGAGCGGTACTGAGTATCCACCGCTTGCAGCCTTTGGTTAGTGTTTGAGAGGCTCACACTGGCCTTGAACTCTCAGCAATTCTCCTGCCTCAGCTACACCTGGTTGAAAGCTGGTGGGGTTTTGTTTTTTGTTTTTTTACTTTTAGAGCTTTTGGGGGGAAAAAAGTGTGTGTATGAACATATGCGCATGATGTGTGCACATTCATGTACAAGGAGGATACTGGCTACCCTGCTTTATCATGCTCCACAGGACTCACCTGAGACAGGGTTCCTCACTGAACCTGGAGCGAGGCTCGTGGCAGCAAGCCCGAGTGATCCTCCTGTCTCTGTGGCCCCTCCACAACCGCTGGCCCTGGTCACAGGCTAGCTCAGCCACACAGCTGCTTACTTGGGTGCTGGGATCTGAACTCACTTCCTCAGCCTACCATGCAAGCCATCTTCCCGCCAGGCTTTGAAGAGGTGGGTGATAGGTGTGCACACTAGCTGTAAGCAGAGTCCACAAGCATGGTGCCTTTAGCATAGGCTGGAAACGTGCCGGAATGGTTTAGGGTGCCTTACTCCCCTGGCCCTCAACCTTCACAGGGAGACATTCCCGGGGCCTGGAGGGGGCAGGGCTGTATCCTGCAGGAAAGGGAAGTTTGGCTGAACCTCACTGAAGGTCCCAGGAATGGTCTACCCTCCACCCACCTTGACCCCATGTCTGGCATCTTCCCAAGATCTCAGGTATGCAGTCATACAGGAAGGCAGAACCTGCCTCAGTGTGACCAGTCCACGGAAAGCTTGCCAAGGGCACAGCGACGTGACCCTCACATCTCCAGGACAGAACGGCCATGCTGGTTACTTCCTACTGCTGCGATAAAACACCGTGACCAAGACAGCTTATGAAAGAAGGTGTTTCGTTGGCCTTACAGGAGGGTTGGCTTCTGTGACAGCGCCCGAAGGCATGGCGGCAGGGCCAGCGGCGAGCTCTCATCTGGAACCTCTCCCGCCGCAGAGCACACTGGGAATGGCATGCGCCTGAAACCTCAAAGCCCACCTCCAGTGACGTGCTTCCCTAGCAAAGGCCAGACCTGCTTGTCCTCCCTAACCAGGCACCAGCTGTATTCAAGTTCCTGAGACTCATCGCATTCAAACCACCACCCCGGCCACAGACAGGGAGGGCTCAGACCCTGTGAATGCTGTCTAAGTGGATGCCGGGGCAAAGCTGCTTTCCTCCCTCAGTGGCCAGGGTGCGGACCCAAAGCACCACAGGCTGAGTGTCTGGAAACCACAAAGCACTATCTGTCGGTCAGCCCTGGAAGCTGAGGTCTGAGGCGAAGGCACCAGAGAAGCAGCCATGTCACTTACAAGCCACAGATGAGCCCTCCGTCTCCAGTGCCGAAGGCCGGAGGATCCCTGAGCCCCAGCATTCTTCACCCATTAGATACGTCACTCCTATTTGGAGTCTCCACCGTCACACGGCCTGGGTGTCACCATCCTCTTCCTGTAAGGACACTGTCATGGCGAGTGAGGGACCTTCCTACTCCAGAATGACCTCATTTGAGCTAATTGCGTCTATAACGATCCTATTTCCAGATTAACGTCACGTTCAGAGGTCCTGAAGGCTAGGACCCCAACAACTGAACCCTCGGCAGCCTGGAGGTCCTTCTGAGACGGTTGTCCCGGGCCAGGGGACCAGAGCAGCACCCATCACCTCCTCAGCAGGGGACGTGCTCCAGAGAAAGCACCAGCCAGGCCCAGTTCACCAGCCCCTCCCGGGCCCCTCAGAAGTGGAGGATGGAGACTATAGAGGCGGCACACATAAACTAGAAGGTGATGCCAAAGCCCACGCCATTTTTAATACACTGCAAAGTTTTGAACTGAACAAACCTCAGGGCCTGAATCTGAACTGGCTACCAGATGTGAGGAGCTTGACAGCTGGAGGGCGGGTCAGGGACGGGGTGAAGGGTCAGTCCACCCTCACCCGAGGCTCCGGCTCCTCCCTCCCCACCCCCTTTCCTCTTTTTATAAAAGATAATTTTTTGGGGGGAAAAATGAGTAACGCGTACTGACTGTACCTGTTTACGAGGTCCAGGGTGGAACTGTGGCACACACGTAGAGCTGGAGCCACACGGAGAAGACAGGTAGCTAGCAATCCACCTCCTTGGGGTGCCTGTGTGTTCCCTTGGGAAAGCGGAGATGGAGTGAGCAGACAGAGAAGGGTGGGCACCCTGGAGTCCACAGCACCTGCAGACATTCATGGCTTCCAAACCGTGTTCCCCTGCGGAGCCTGGTGCACCCGCCCGGGGCAGGCAGGAAGGAGCGGTTCCTCCCTGAATCCCCCTCTTCCTGAGCTCACACCCTCCCTGTGGTTTGCTTATCCTGGGCGGTTTGCCAACTGTGAGCGGGTTCGGGCCGTGGCCTTGATACCACCCCATGCACCCTCGCCACAGAGGCCAGAGGGAGGCCCTTGGGGTGGCTTGGCGGAGCCGACCTGGGGGAATCCCTGCAACCCCTTCCGTCTCTGGCTCTTCTGCGATGACTTTGGAGGTGTTTGGTAGCACCCTGCTGCAGGACACGACCTCACCTGGCTCTCTGCTCACCGACATCCCCACCTCAGCAATGTCCCCTGCCCTGGACACCCAGTCACGGGTTATTGGTGAAATTATTAAGGCCACTCCACGTAGTTCAAAGGGAGGTTTATTTTGTGGGGTAACTTACAAGTGAAAGGATAGGTAACAGGGTCTGGGAAAGGCATGGCGCAGTCCGTCGGTGTTCTCTGGAGAACTCTGCTCAGTCTAGCTCCAGCATCCAGGGTCCAGGCACTAAGAGAGCTCCCCTATCTGGATCTCGGGTCTTTAGGGGTCCTCTCTTGGTCTCGCCTTGTAGGCGTGACCGTTACTGAAGCCTCAATGGGGGTGGTACTTCCAGGTCAAAGCTGGAACGGATCCAGGCAGTGGCTGGAATGAGGTCTTGGCTGGGGAGGAGCAGGCACGATTCTGGAATGAAGGGCTTAAAGACGGGATTGAGAGACCAAGAGGGTCTGTCCATAAACAGGGAAAGGGACCGTTCCTGCACGGTGACACTGGAGATGGTCGCCGGAGTCCCCCTTAGCGGTTTTCATGCTCCCATCAAGGATGAGGCCTTTGTGAGAATGGGGCGCAGAAAGCATGTGGGCTTGAGGAAGGAGAGGAGCCGGCGTCCTGAGGAGAGGCAGGCGGGCACTGCCTCAGGAGATGTGTGGCCCATGACCAGGCAGGACTGAGTGAACACTGGAGATGATGATTGCAAACCCAAGGCCACGCAGCCCACCTGTCAGTTTCCGGCCATAGGAGAGAGGGGTCAGGGGGGGGGGGGGGGGCAAGGTAGTTCAGAGCATTGACACCCGAGTTAGGACAAAGATGGGCCACCTGAGCTGGGCTGAGGGGACAGTCAGTATAGTGTGAACTGTGCCTCAGGCCTTCAGCCACACTTCCTGAGACTGCCAAGGACAGGCCACCCCATCCGAGCGCAATAAGGTGCCCTCACCTGGGCACTGGCAAGTCCACTCCGGGGTGGGGAGGCTGCAGTTGGAAGCTGGGCACCGTGTGTCACGACATTTCAGAGATTTTTTTTTTACAAGTAATTTGGAGCTAATACGCTGTCACTTTCTCTCACTTCCATCTGGTTAAGCTCCCTGTGTGAGAAGGAAATGACAGGGCGATGGTTGGCATTTGGCCTAGTGTGCAAAAATCAGCACCGTGGCTTGTAGGCTGAGCCCAGAGTGAACACCTCCAGGCGGATTAAGGGTTTTCACTACATGAACGACAACATTTCGAGGGGCTCCACATCTGCTGCTCCCGTTGCAGAGGCCTGGGGCACCCAGAGTTGGGGCCACACGGGCCCATGGTCACAACTGTCTACCTCTTCTTCCAAAGTGCTGCGCCCAGGCAGCTGACAGAGGTTTCCGGCCTCCCTGTGGTGGACGGCCACTCCCAGGCCATGTCCTAAGGTTCCCTTCACTGCACGCGCCTCCCTTTGCTGCAGCCTGAGCGCTGAGGGGCCTGTCGCTTGCTGCCTCAGTCCCTGTTCTACTGCTGTGAGGAGACACCGTGACCAAGGCAACTCTCAGCAAAGAAAGCATTTAATGGGGCCTGGCTTACAGTTTCAGAGGGGTAGTCCATTATGATCATGGCGGGGAGCAGGGCAGCAGGCAGCCAGGCGTGATAGCTGAGAGCATTACTTCCCGATCCTTAAGCAGCGGGGTGGGGGTGGGGGTGCAGGGAGGAGGGAGGGAGGAAGAGGAGGGAGAGACAGAGAGACAGAAAATACTACGCCTGGTGTAAGTTGTTGTTGTTTTTTATTTTTGTGTGTGTGTGTGTGTGTGTGTTTATTTTTTTGGTTTTTCGAGACAGGGTTTCTCTGTGTAGCTTTGCGCCTTTCCTGGAACTCACTTGGTAGCCCAGGTTGGCCTCGAACTCACAGAGATCTGCCTGCCTCTGCCTCCCAAGTGCTGGGATTAAAGGCATGTGCCACCACCGCCCGGCCTCTGGTGTAAGTTTTTAAAACCTCAGGACCCACCACCAATGACACAGCTCCTCAACAAGGCCGCACTTCCAGACACTTCCAAACAGTTCATCAAATAGATGAGCCTATGGCAGCTGTTCTCATTCAAACCACCACACTGGCCTTCAACCCGGGGCCCAGCCAGAGTGACGGTAAATGCCCAAGCTGCAGGTGAACTGGGTCCCTTAATGACAAAGGGCAAAACTTCCGACCAAGCAGGAACACGCTCTTTGTGCCTTAGATCACTCAGCTGGCTCGGAACAGAGTCTGTGCCCTGGGGCTTGCTTGGGTACACAGCAGACAAGGAAGAAGAAACCGCACCTCAGTGACGCTGAATGGGAGCCGCCTGCTGGCTCATGGGCACTCTGGAACCAGGGTAGCCTTTCATGAACATCTGGACAGAGTCAAGGGATGGAACCTTTGTGTTCCCGGACTACCGGTCCTTCGCAGAGGCAGGCTGCTCCTGCAAGGGGAACACCATGGCGGAGGCAGCTATTCTTGCCTGTTGGATAAGCATGATGGCTGTCTCCGTCAATGTCTCTTCATACTTCTGCATTGAGGAAACTGAGGCAGGAGGGCAGGTCCACCTCCCCATGAGAGACAGAGGGGGTCAAGCAAGAAGTTCTAAGCCATCAACACTCCCTGTAACTGGGGAATGACCACATTGGTCCTTCAGGGGGTCTGATGGTGGTACCCCACAGGATCTGTTATGATTCTCCCTCACACAGAGAAATGTTGATGTTCTGTAGCCCTTTATTTCCTGCTGGGCCTGTCTGTCACAGCAGCCCGCCCGACCCCCATCTGACAATGCTCTCCACTGGTTTCCAGGGTATCTCCGTTAAGGTTTCCGTTGCTGTGATAAAACACCATGACCATAAGTAACTCAGGGAGGAAATGGTTGGTTTCAGCTTCTAACTCTCAGGTCACACTCCATTGCTGAAGAGATGTCAGGGCAGGAACTCACACAGGGCAGGATCCTGGAGGCAGGAGCTGACGCAGAGGCCATGGAGGAGTGCTGCTTACTGGCTTGCTCTGCATGGTTTGCTTAGCCTGCTTCCTTATAATGCCCAGGACCACCAGCCCAGGGATGGCAATCACCAACAGTGAACCGGACCCTTCCACATCAATCAATGATTCTTCTAGCTTGTGTCAATATGACATAAAAACGAGCCAGCACATGGGGTGTCTTAGTTGGGATTTCTAATCCTGTGAAGAGACACCATGACCATGGCAACTCTTATTAAAAAAAAAAACAACAAACCTTTAGTTGGGGCTGGCTTACAGTTTCAGAGATTTAGTTCATTATCATCATGGTGGGACATGGTGGCGTACAGGCAGACGTGGTGCTGGAGCTGAGAGTCCTATATCTTGATCCAAAGGCAACAGGAAGTGAACTGAGACACTGGATGTGGCTCAAACATATATGAGACCTCAAAGTCCATCCCCAAAGTGACACACTTCCTCCAGCAAGGCCATACCTACTCCAACAAAGCTACATCTCCTAATAGTGTCCCTCCCTATGAACTTATGGGGACCAATTATATTCAAATTACCACATAGGAGTAGATTGTATGCTTAAAGAATCTCTGATGTGTATATCTGCACACTGTGTAAAGATGTGCTGCTGTGACTGGTGTAATAAAAAGCTGAACAGCCAACAGCTAGACAGGAGGTACAGGTGGGACTTCCAGGCACCAAGAGAATTATGGGAAGAAGAAAGGCAGAGTCGCCAGACACAGAGGAAGCAGGATGTGTAGTATGGTAACAAGCCAGGTGCCAGAATGTAGATTTAAAAAAAATATGGGTTAATTTAAGTTCTCAGAACTAGTTGGGAAGAAGCCTAAGCTAAGGCGGAACATTCATAATTAATAATAAGTCTCTGTGTCGTTATTTGGGGGCTGGCCATACAAGAAAGCCTGCTGTAGTACCCAGCCCAACAGCATCACCGTCACCTGGGAAACTATTTCCATTGCAAAGGTTACCCCTCCCCCAAGACCTACTGAGCCAGAACTTAAGAGATGGTACTGAGCACATGCTTCAGTTTGAGCAAGCCTTCTGAGGACAAACGCCGAAGATGCAGATCCCTTGCGCTGGGCTTCCTCCCGTCTCCAGTCAGAGCACTGGTGTTATGCACAGTGCTCAGGACCTCTCAACATCAAGATAGCCCTTACACGGATGGAGAATGGCTGTCTCCCAAGGGAGTCTGGAGGTGCCCTGCAGGAGCTATTGTGGAATGTCATGAGTCAGGTCCAAAGGAAACTCCACTCCCCCAAATTCTGGCACCTGTTCCCCTCTACCAAAGGAGCCATTTCCTTATCACTGACAGAAAGGACAAATGGCTATCTATGGTGTCCGTCAGCACAACAAAGCGCATGCTAGCCTCCAGGCTCCCTCGGTAGCCTGCCCTTTTGCTCTAAGCTTCTCCAATTCAGAAGCTCCTCTGACCTCAGCTTCGCATTCCTCTTATAATGGTCATTTGGATATGTTCTTCTTCCTCCCGCAGATGCAAGGAGAAAGACCACTGACCCAAATCATGACCAAATTAATTAAAGCAATCAATTAATGAAAGCAAGGTTTTTTAATCTGTGTAACCAGCTGTCTCTCCGTAGAGATGGGGCTCAAGAGCTCAGCATTGGGCA